GGAGTGGCAATATTAGGTGTGGGAGTAAGTGTGGCCTTGTTGGAAGAGTGTGGCACTGTGGGTGGTGTATGAGTTTCAAATGCTTAAGCCAGGCCCAGTGTTGTTCTTTCTTTTCCTGCTGCCTGCTGATCCAGATGTAAAAATTTCTCCTCCAGCACCATGTCTCCCTGAGTGCTGCCAAGCTTCCTGCCATGACAATAATCGACTATACCTCTGAAACTGTAAGTCATCCCCAAGTCAATATTTTCTGTATTCGGAGTTACAGTGATCATGGTGTCCCTTCACAACAATAGAAACCCTAGCAACCAGAAAGGGAATAAGGAATTGTTTGTTCTGAAGCCAAATATGAGTTACAATGTGTTATGTGAGGTATTGCTAGGGAGATACACACACAAATGCCTAGTCAGCCCAGACAGGCACAAATGGCAGAACAACATAGAAATTTACCAATGTCCAAACTGTGAGATTGAGTGTATTGATTGTGGTTTCTTACAGACAAGAGGAGGGGTTACTTACAGGAGTGTGTAAGTAGCTAAATGGGGAAAGCCGCTATATGACACCATGGCCCAGGACCCACTATCTCATTACCTTAAGTACTGTATTACAGCACAGCTTCAGTTTCATGAAACATTTATAGTTACAGAACAAAGAGACTTGTCAATCAAGACATCTTGAAAACGTGTCGGCTGAAACATTGTGGACGGTAGGTTATAATGTATTCTGTTCCTGCTGCAGGACCAGATGTTCTCTTAGCATTCCTCTCAGATAACACTCTTGACATTTGTGTTGGTGAGAGTTAGGCATCTGTCTCTACATTGTAAAATAATATACCTAACAGTCATAAACATGTTCTGTCACACAAAAGTTAAGGTATTAAATGGCTGTTTACAGCTTAAGACAGGTCGCAGAATTTGAAATGACATGCACAATCCGTCCATCAGCCTTGAGTATTTGATATAAGAGCAGGTGGTATTCTTTCAGGGAACTTTAGTTCATGATTGTTCTGAAAAGATCCAGATCTCACATGTTTTATTTCCAGTATCATGTGGACAAATGCCAGCACAGGAAACAAGCAAACATTCTTTAACATGGAGAGAAAATTAAAGATGTATGTTACATGACTTATAATACAAAAAATATGATTGTGTGTGTTGTACTTAAGGCAATAACTATGGGGAGTTGGCTGTTACTTGTGAGACCCCATTTGCCTGTAACCTTTATTGTACCAAATGCTTTTCCAGCCGCTTAACTCTGTTTTAAAAGTGAGCGTGTGGGCATTGAGGGAAGAGCCTTATATATGGCTCATAAGGAACACTTACCTTTTTACTGTCCTAGATCCTCTTCTAATTCATTTTCTCTGCTTAATAGACTTTACAGTTCTCTTCAATGCCTGCCAATGTCATCTCCTTTCAGAAATACTGCTATGTCTTTAGTGGGGTTTCATCTAGTTATACTGTTGTAACTTAGGAGACATCCTGGAAAGGTCCTTTTGTGAAACTGAATATAATCGTTTGTCATGACCATTCATTATATTTGAAGAAAAGAGCTTTTAACATAAATCCAGGATAGAAAAATGCTACCAGTGATTGATGGGGACAGGGAGGATACTTGTCTGTTTGCTGCAAAAACATGTGAATTGTGAGCTGTAGAGATGGCTCCATAGTTAAGTGTACTCATTGCTCTTGAAGATGACCTGAGGTTAGTTCCCAGGACCACAGTGGCTCACAACCATCTGTAACTTCAGTTCCAGAGGATCTGATACCTTCTTTGGAACATGTGCACACATTGTGCACAGACATGCATTTAAGCAAAACACACATAAAAGAAAGTATATTTTAAAAACAAAGATATGAATTAAATCAAATACAAAAAGCAAAAAGATTAAATGAAAAAACATTTTGCTATGAACATTTAAATATTACCTCTTTTGCTTTCAGATAAATTCAATTTTGAGGTGGCTTTTGGGATATGTGCAAATACTGAAGGAAAAACACCAGTCACTATGAGTCATACTTGTGAATGAGTTTATTTGACTCATCTCTCTTTTCAATATAGGTCTCTGCTTTTATAGACCACTATTGACAAAAAGTATATAATAATTGTAAACATTGCCGGATGGTGGTGGCGCATACTTTTAATCCCAGCACTTGGGAGGCAGAGGCAGGCGGATTTCTGAGTTCGAGGCCAGCCTGGTCTACAGAGTGAGTTCCAGGACAGCCAGGGCTACACAGAGAAACCCTGTCTTGAAACCCCCCCCAAAAAAAAATAAATAAATAATTGTAAATATTTACAATAATATTACAATTATTATTGTAAACAATAAAGCACTCTAGTACTACATTCTTATATCTAGATTGGTCCTCCAAAACAATAATGAACAAAGATTCTACGAAGATAAATACCCCAATATCAGTTTGACTTAAACATATGTATGAACATTCTACCAACATGTAAGAAACACAGTCTGCTCAGTGGCAAAAAGAACATTCTCTAAAATGGACCACATTATAGACCACAAACCAAGCCTTTATAAATAGAAAGAAACAAACAAAAAAAAATCTGTACATCCTAACAGGGCACATTGGGATAAAATAGAAATTAATGGAGACTAGCTTTGAGGAAAGGTGAAGAAATAATATACCTTTCCATGAATGGTGGCTCACTGAAGAAATAAGCAAAGAAGGCAGTCCTATGAGGAGTGGTTATACAGAGTTCTTGATTTAAATACTTCCAATATCACATGAGACCCATCTTCAAGAAAAGAGAAGGCAAAAGATCCAATAAGCTCATAAGTTTATATGACTTTTAAGAAAGTCTAAAAGTAAAATGAATCCATTCATAGGAACATAGACATTTTGCATCCTATATTTGTATTATACACCCTAAATATATACATTTCTCACAGGAAAAGGTCATCATATGGGAAAACGTACTCCTCAACAGAATATACACAATCACAAATGGAAAGAATCATTGAAGATTTGATGCAGATTCTGATACAGAGGCTCTGGCTAAGGTCTGGTTTTAGACCATGTACAGAGTTCAGTAATGACAGCACATGATGGGTGATGAGTCTAAACAGCCAATGGAGACAGCAACAAAGGAATTATTCATAGACAAAAATGGAACTACAAACATTTAAACAAACCCCAGCAAGTACAGGAATAACAACTGTTGTGGGAGATATTTAAAAATATCCAATCAGGCTTGTTCTTATTCAGCCACCATCTTCCTTACTAGCCTAGGCCTGTGGCCAAGAATACGCCACTGCCACTCGGCTCAGGCAGGCCAGAACACCAGCCCTGCCACCCATGAGATGCTATTGTGGGAGATGGCAAGCTTTGTGATATCTGTGTGTAGTAGTACCCACTGAATTATGTAAATAGATCCTGATGGCAATCCTGGTGGCAATGGCCTTCCTCTCTACCCACCCCAATGCTCGGGTTCCCAAATGAAAGGCACATACACACACACACAGCCTTTATACTTTTTACGCCTAAAACAGTTTAATGTCTGGGCCACTTCCTAACCTCCCTGTGGCTAATCTACCTACTTCTGATATCGCTGAGTTATTACTTACAAAATCCTATATTCTATCTTTGCTGTCCTGGACCCAGTGAGGCAACCCTCTTGGGCTGTTATCCCCTGGCTCCTGCATGATGGCTATGCTCTCTGTCCCTCAGGTTCTCAGGTGTGGCATCTTTCCTCTCCTTCTCCTGTCTGTAGCCTCGGAATCCTAAAAGTCTCGCCTCTGTCTGCCCTGCCCAGTCATTGGCTGCCGGCAACTTTATTTACCAGTCAGAACAAACTGGGGACAGGGTCCCTCAGTGTCTTTGTGTGGATGTGCAGACTTTCATGAAAAGTTTGTGGACCCAAATTAACATAATATAAGCAGCATTAGGGCAAAACCACTACATCTGTGTCTTTGTCTGACAAGTCCCAGAATTTTAGTTTGTAGTACTTCTTACTAGTTTGTCTTAATTTAATTTAATTTTCTATGTTATAGCTTTTATTTATCATCGTATCACATAAAAGTCCCAAAGAATCTATGAAAGCAGTAATGTTACTTTTCCTTTCTATGACTAAATGACAAAACACTGAAAATTTACATATTAACGAGGTATTTTGAAGTAATTGTTAAAGGTGTAGTTTTTAAAATCTTCATGTCTGTTTCAATATATTTTCTCATCTATCTCATCAAACAATTTTTTTTTCTGTTTAGAATGTCCAAAGTCCTGGCCTCTAGGCTTCTGAAATACACACTACATAATAGTTACCCACAGTTAACATTCTGGGCCACAATAAATAAGCTTCTTCCTATCTGATTGTAGTGGGGCGTCCTCTGAGCATCAGTTCTCCAGGTCTTCTCTTCCTGAAGGCAGTGGCTGGTGTGAGAAGGCTTTCTATGTCCTCAATGTCCTGGTTCATTCCTCGGGATGTAAATAGTGGGACAGATATCCAACCTCTGTCAGACTTGACCAAGGACTGACCTGCCTCCCTCAGGGAACCAATTGGAAGGGAAGAGCATTATAGTTTGAATGGTGTGGTCAACACCATTGAAATAGGCTACAACTGTGTATAGATGTTCCTATAATACATGAGAGACATTTTAGCCTACAACAGTCACTGTTACTTCTAAAGCTCCTAAATCAAGAAGCAGTATAAGACATAAATAGGAAACATGAGCCAAAGAAAAGGAAAACACACACACATACACACACACACCCCAAAACACACAAAACCAGAATATCCCAAAGATGCACTGAATATCCCACCTCTGTTAATGATTGAAGAATTTAAGCAAATAAACAAAAAGTAAAGACAATAACTGCATATGTAATCAAGAACATCAGAAATCAACACAGAGGCATGAGGATGGGGCTCAAAATGTCATACTAAGTAGAAGAAAGAAAGATCCTGCCACCAAATTTGGTCCCGCAGAAGGAAACCTCAGCAAAGATGAAGACTGCCAGAGGTTAAAAACAGCATGGATGCCTCCCCGCCCCCAGCAATGGGTACTGAGACAACTTTTTGGTGGTGGTCTTCTTACATCAGTCAGGGGCACAACAGCTGGTGGGCCTTTCTTTATCCTAGCTTGATGCCTGGCATGGTGGCCAAAGCTGTCTCTTACCTAGGACTCATAAAAATCAAATCAAACCAAATCAAATCAAACCCAGAAAATGCAGTGAGGAGGAAGACAGAGACCTGTGGACCACCATGTCACCCACAGATTTGCCCTCCAGCACATAGCACTGAGTGGCCATAGACAGCTGCTTGCCACCATGCCATGCAGCACACATGGAGGTTGTCACCCAGGGGCCCAAATCGCGTGTCCAGCCTAGAGCAGGAGCCAACACAATGTGGATGTATGTGGTGGTCAGATGGAAGAGTGATATATGGTCTTCAACTTAAAGTATTTGAAGAAAATAATAGACACAAAGATTTGAACAAATGACAGTCCAGAGCCCCCTGAAGATGGTAAAGCTCAACAATGGGTTAAGCTAGTTGTTTGAGCTAAAATTCTGATAGACACAGGAGAACAATGGCTTCTGACCCAGGAGCCCCTGTAAAATGCTCACTAGATCATCACAGTAGAAACAGCAGTCCAGAGAGCTGAGGGATGACACATCAAACACAATCGATCAAAAAGAACAAGCATTGCAAGGATCATATGGGCTCGTTTTTAACTATGAGTTACTGATAATGTGCCAGTGCCAAATCAGAGGAAAAGCACTGCCTTTTGGAGTCATTTTACCAAGAATGCATCTGGATTCCATGCCTCTACTTCATGCTCTCCATGTCTTCTGTCATCTGTCTGTCTGTTGTGTTTGTTTCTGTCCCTAAGAAAGGGTTTTATTCTATAGTTATTGACCAGCATAGACAGCCTCACAGAGGGGGAGGAATGGGAGTACTTTATGGGACTTTTTAGAAAAGTTTTACAAATGAGTAAATTACTTGGTTCAACTGATCCCAGCAGACCCAGATAACAAACATAAGTGTTTATCAACCAATATCCATAAATAGTGCTTTCAGTGCTTATGGAAGATTCCAAAAAGTTGCCTTGAAATTCTGTCTTTGCTGCTTTGAGCATATGATACACATGCATTGTTCCGGGTCAGAGACATGGAGAAGTACATGAAAGAGCAGAAGAAAGATGGAAACATCATTTTACAAGACAGTAGAGCGTAACCTCAATGGAAAATTAGCTGTGAGGATCACTCCCCTCATGCTTCAGCACAGACTGCCACTATTCTGTATGGGAAAAGCGTTGATGTGCCTAGACCCTTCTCTTCACTGTGGGCTGTCTGTGTGTGGACAGCAGAAGGCCTGCCATCAGGACATTGTTTAGTGGGGTTTTAACTAAGGCAATTAAAGGCAGCATTTCAAGGGTACTTAAGACTGGCAATGTTTTCTTTTTATGTGGAAAAGTTAAAATTCCTTCCGACCAAGAACAAACTATGATTCATTAAAAACTTCTCTGAATTCTCACTAACCCCCTAATAAAGAGTCTAACTTTCTCCCATTGGATGGAGGTTTGTCTTTAAAACAAGCAAGCCTCCATCAACTGAATGGACAGAGTAGAAATTACCAAAGCTCTTGCACCTCCTGTTTCCATCCCTTATAGGTATTTGTAATAGAACCCAGAAAAACTTGACTACCAGGCCCTTGTGGGAAAAATCAAAGCTAGATGCAAGAGATGGCTGAGTTCCCAATAATCTCCCAAACATTGGTAACCCTTCATGTTAGCTTTGGGATAGCATGAAATACAGAACACAGTGCCATAAAAGAGCACACTAGAAACATCATGGACTTGCCAGCACACAGGTCTCTTGCAGGTCTTTTTATCCACATAAGGGTGACATATAGCAATAATCAATTCTCATTTTAACACATTTTGCAATCCTATGACCACAAACATAATTAGAATACTAAAAGAGACACATGAGACCATAGGAAATGCCTTTATTTGACTATGGAATGTAGAGTTAGATGACTACTAGCTTAAAAATAAATAGGATATGCTTCATTTTGTATGATGGATGCCTATGTCAGGGGCATTTACAAAACAGTATGTTGGGGCTGGAGAGATGGCTCATCAGTTAAGAGGACTGGCTACTCTCTCAAAGGATTTGGGGTTGATTCCTAGATGCCACATGGCCATTCACAACTGTCTATAACTCCAATTAGAGAGGCTCAGACAATCTCTTAGACATGTTTGCTATAAAGATACAAGCAATACACCTTCGTTAGAGGTTCTATTCCTGCCATGAAACTCCATGACCAAAAAATCATCTTGGGGAGGACAGGGTTTATTGGAGTTATACTTCCATAACACAGTTCTTCATTAAAGGAAGTCACAACAGGGACTCAAACAGGACAGAAACCTAGAAGCGGGAGTTGATGTAGAGATCAGGAGGGGTTCTGCTTATAGGCTTGGTATACATGGCTTGCTCAGCCTGCTTCTTTACAGAACCCAGGGATACCAGCCCAGTTAGCATCTCCCACGTCAGGCGGTGTCATACTCTACCAATCGCTAATTAAGAAAATGCTCTACAGGCTGGCACACAGCCCGATCTTATAGAGGCATCCTCTAAATTGACATTTCATACACTCATTTAACTACAGTTTGTTTCGAGTTCACGTGAATCTAGCCGGCACACAAAAAAGAAATAAATAGTAAAATGTGAAAAAACACTTGTGTGTCCCATCATTGTATTATACTACAGCACACATTACATCTGTTTCTCACAGTAGAGACCATGGTGATGGAGAAGGTACTTCTAAACCTAATATGCACAGTCACAATGACAAATACAATGAAGACAGATCTAACGAGCACCTGTGGGCTGAGCGTGTACAGAGAGATGCAAATGACACTACATCAAGTGATGCTGACCACCATGCAGGAAGAATGACAGATGGGTTTAGAACTCATGGAGTGTGGCCCCTAGTTACTGTAAGGGTAAAAATTAAAACAGCTCAGCAGAGACCACAAACAACTTGGCAAAGACCGCAGGACGGCTTGCTGAGCTTGCTGAGAATAGCCATAATAAAAATATCAAGCCCCTCTAGGGACGAGGTGACCAGAAATGTAGAAACAACCAAAGACATATCTTGACCAGTCTAAACATGCCCAAGTGAGTAATGGGCCACCTGGTGTTTATCCTAGAAGGTCTGAGGCTTCATGGTCAAAATAGTGGGCCATCCAGCCTGTCAAAATGATTGCTTACGCAAAGTGCTGATGTTTGAAATATCCAATCATATGTAACCTCGCCAGAATTTCCTGCTTTTCCCTTCCCCCTTGTGCCTCCCCCTATAAAAGTTCTAAACTTCCTGGGGTCTTCATCGAAATTCTCTCCCCTGCGTGGGATGAGTTTCGATCCAAGGGCCCTTGTTAGTAAACTGCCTTTTGCTATTTTGCATCAAGTCAGTCTCTCGTGTCTCCTTGGGTGTGCGCTGATCGGACTTGAGTTGGAGGTCCTCTTTCTGGGTCCTTACAATAGATACAATGTTACATAAAAATGGAAGCTACAGAGCAATAAAAATAACAAGTTCAAGGGAGCTTTCATTCTATAGGCTCATCATAAGTTCAAAGTAACAGTTTCATATGGTCTTGCCTTTATGATAGAGCACACCCGTGGCTTTATTCTTGGACTTGAATGTTTCCTTGAACACAAATTTATCTCAAGCCAATTTCTCTTTTTATGTAACTATGAAAGCTCATTTGATTTCTTATGCAGCATTAACTTACAATTATGAGGAGTGGGTACATTCTATTCTTGAGTCTAACTTTATTACATCTTTTTATGAAAGCAACTAAAACTATCTCTTAAAACTTTCTTGCTATGATTATTTGAATCAAATCAGAAATTATATAAAATCATTAATTCATTTAAACAGAATTAATTCATGAAAGTTGATCATTTTGTTGATCTCCAAGAAATCTGCTCAGTAGGGTAGGCTAACGTCCAGGGATTATTATATTAATTTAATAATGAGAGGAAAGGCATATCAGCTGCAGGAAGCAATCCTGAGATGAAGTCCCACTGGGACCTTGCCTCATAGGACTCATTGATCAGAGACCATGCAAAAGCAGTGGACCAACTTCAGGAAAGTCACCTGCTAGCCTTTAGCCTATCCTAGATGGCTCCTGACACTGAGAATGTCAGATGGTCTTCAGGAACATCAAAAATATGTTGAATATGGAATTTAAATGTTTATTAATTTTTGACAATGGGAAATATAGACTTAGTAGTAGTAAGGCAGCAATCTCATACTACTTCAAAGAAGATGATAAGCATCGAAGAAACTCCTCATAGAATTTGTTGCAAATGTTGCAAACTGTCACTGGGCATGAAACTACTTTTCACTCAATTGCTGACCATATGCTCTTCAAGCTGTGGACAAGCAGGCCACAAAGAAAGAATGCCAAACTGCCAGGACATGGTAGAGAATTCCTTCCTATTTGTTGCTTCACAGAAAACTCTGTCAGATATTATGGGCCAGTATATTGAAGAGATAAATGTGCCAACATTGAAGAAGAATCTTAGGTGACTGACAAGCCATCACAAGTACCTAATATTTCTACAGTTTTGCAAGCTGCTTGATCTGTACTTCCTATTTATTTAGGAAGTATTTCTCTCTCCCAACCCTCTGATGGGGCTGAAGACTAGATAGTTCTAGTATCACAATTAAGATGAAGTTGTTTAGGATTTAAGAAAATGCTCTAAGGTTTAAAAATGTGTTTTCAGTTAATAAATGCAAGTTATGATGGAAAGTGATTTAGGTACAGAACTTTGGACTCATGAAGTTAAGAATAAATAGTAGAATACTTTGTCCAAGATTAACAAATAGAAATGGACTGGACAGTATCAATGTAATTCTTACCATACAGTATGTTGTTTATTGATATTAGCAGAAGAGTCTTTTATTTAGGCAAACAGTAGGGATGTTGCAGAATATTTTATCACATTTTGAGCTCCAAGATTGTGAGCTGGAGCTGTGGTGGTCCACTCCTTTAATCTCAGCACTTGGGAGGCAGAGGCAGGCAGATTTCTGAGTTCGAGGCCAGCCTGGTCTACAGAGTGAGTACTAGGATAGCCAGGGCTACACAGAGAAACCCTGTCTCAAAAAAAAAAAAAAAAAACAAAGAAACAAAAGGATTGTGAAATGGAAAAAACTTGTTGTGTGGCTCAGCCCTAGCACAAACTTTTAGCCCGAGAGCCAATAAATTCAACCCTAGGTAAATAGGCAGAGCAAGCAACCAGCTGACAGAGAGTTATAAGTAAACAGAGAGGAAGGACATTGAAGAGAAGCGTATATAAGACAGCACGGAGAAGAAGGGAAAGACCTTTTTCCATCTGGGACATCAATGAAATAGGAAGACCAGTTGCCTCTCTGAGCTAGCAGGCTGTCACCAAGGCATCTGGCTCCGGGGTATTCATCTGTAAACTTAAACTGTGGAATTTTTGTTTTTAAAACAAGTTCTCACCACGAGGCTAACTTGAATATAGAACTCAAAACTCACTGCGGCACCAGGGACACATCTCCTAACAGTACCACTCCTTTTCGGATAACCATTCACAAACATGATTATATACGGGCTTCCTCTGAATGATGGTGGGAAATGGAGACACCAACCCACAGTCAAACATTAATTACAGAGCACTGGTTGGGAGTCTGCATCCAGTCTTTTCCTTGATGATTGGGGAATCCTGGCAAAGGTAGTATAAGGAATTCTGGGAACCAGAGGGCTTGAGGACATTGCAAGAGCCTGTAGAATCATTTAAGCAGAGCTCACGGTGGCTCACAGAGACTAAAGTGGAGCCAGCATGGGTCTGGTTGTTGGCTTTGTGCTTTTGTGGGGCTCCTGACAGTCTACTTGGTGGTGTTTCTCATCCTTGTCCAGCTCTCATGACACTTTGTCTTACTGAATTGCCTAGCCCACCCTGGATTTGAGGGTGTGTGTGTGAATCTTGTGCAGTATTAGGTTGATGTTCAAAAATGCTTGCTTTTTTTTTTGAAGTGATACAGGAATCTGATGGGTCTCAGGGAGATGGGAGGTAGGGCTGGGGGTAGGAGTAGGAAGAGAGCTGTAGCTGGGATGTATTAGATGACACAATGAATATATTAAAAAAAAAAAAACCAAAACCACAACTAACCAACCAACACACCACCCAGCCACTGTAGAATAATTTCCCTAATGAACATGAAGAAATTTAAAAGATGTCAACTGTCTTCTTTCTTAGCTCATACTTTATAACTAACCTGCTTTTCTGTCTATTACAAAAAGTTTGCTCTACTTGTACAAATCTTGTGTATAATAAGCCACACTGAGAGAGAAACAGAATGCACACAATTCTTTATAATAGCTGCAGGCAAGGCAGTTGTGAAACTTCACAATGCCTGAAGAATAAATTACAAGGAATGTAGGAATGGATGGAGAAATATTTCACCAGGGTAAGGGCTGTGTATGACAAGCCCATAGCCAATCCTCAGTAAATGGAGGAGAAACTGAAAACAAGTCGTGTAAAATTTGGCATGAGGTAGGGATTCCTTATCTACACTGTAATGCAAGAATTGGGTCAAGTAATCATTAAAGAAACAAGAGAACAGAAACTAGCAAAAGAGTAAAACTGGGGAAGGAGGAAGTTAAACTATCCCTATTTGAAGATGACCCAAAGCTATACTTAAAAGGTTCACTACTACACATAAAAATCTCATGAATTTAATTTCAGTAAAATGGCAGTTTAAAACAGTACGCCTATAGAAATCATTAGCCTTTATGTAACAAAAACAATTGACTTGCTGAGAATGTAATTAGAGAAAAAAAGTCATCAGGGTGATTTATTATAATCTCCAGACACAAAAAACACAGGAGCAATATTTACCAGAGGAGGTGAAAGACTTGTACATAAAAAAATAAAACAAAACAAAAAAGACATTCTGATACCAACAGCCTTTACAACAAATACTGCTCCAAAACTAGATGTCCAATTGTGGAAAAATGAAATGTTGCTCACCCTACAGAAAAATCAGTTCGAAATCAAAGTCATTTATTTAACACTGAAAATGCAGTGAAAAGACAGGTGAAGAGAAGGAACATTTTTCACAGAGAATGGGGTAAATGGAGGACAATAATGGGAAAAGGGAGAAAGTACTTGATTCATAGGTATTAAATGTCACACTGAAACTTGCATTTGGCATGAAGATTTAGTAAGTGTTCTCATGGCCATGATAAAATATGCACACAAGAGCAAGTCAAAGGTTTAATTTGCCTCATAGTTGATTGTCTACCATGGTCTCCTACTCAGCGTCCTATGCTATGAAGAGACACCGGACCAGGATAACTCTTATAAGGAAAGCATTTATTAAGGCTTCTTGACAGTTTTAGAAGTCTCGTACATTATCACTGTTGCATGGAGCATGCTAGGGAACATGGTGGAATGGAGACAGATACGATGCTTGAGAAGCAGCTGAGAATTCTACATTTTGATCCATAGTCAGTATGAGGACAGAGCCACTGGGTCTGAGCTTTGGAAACCTGAAATACAACCCCCAGTGACAGACTTACTCCAACCATGCCATTCTTCTTAATTCTTTTAAAGAGGTGCTACTGCCTGATGACTAAGATTCAAATCTATGGACCCTGAGGGCAATTCTTACTCCAACCACAATGCATGATGGGAAAGTTATGACAACAGGAACTTAAAGAAGCTCGTCATGTTCTATCCCCAGTCAGGAAGCAGGAGATAGATGAAGAGGTGTTCTCAGGATAGTTCCTTATACTGCAGCATTTCCAAAACACACTTCAAACCACAATCACCAGATCTTCTGACACCAATTAATCTAAACAAGAAAAGTCCTGCAAATCAACAGAGGCTTGCTTCTCACATGATGCTAGAACTCATGAAGTTAACAAAATATAAGCATTACTTTCTTGACCCCTGTCTGCATAAAACACAATTAAAAAACATAATTTAGGTTTATTTTGTCTGGGCACATGTACGTATGTATGTATGTATGTATGTATGTATGTATGTATGTATGTGTATGTATATGTGGGAGCCCATGCATGAAGGTCAGAGAAAAATCTTCGGAGGTAATTACCCCTATTTTGTGGGTACTTGAATACTAACATGGCTATGGGTCTTGCTGGCAATTAATCTTGTTCCCAAACTTATGCTAGCCTTAGCCACAGAGCTTTAATCACATTTCTTCCCTTTTCCCCAACCTTACCCTCACCTCGGAAGTAAAATAGGCTACAACTTGAAAGGTGCACAGAGTACTTAGCAATTACAACACCATGAAAGACCACAGTCCATGTGTCTGTCATATGAGACCCAAGGCAGTCTCTTATGTGTGGTCTCTTATAAAAACAAGGGACTACTTTTGCAACACAATGGTATAGAAGTGTTCTGATTCTAAAAGAGAAGAAACACAAGATAGCAAGGATGGATCAGTCCAAAATCCAGAGAACAGTCTGACAGCTGTACTTTTGACATGGTTGTGTGAATGATTCCAAAGGCTTTATTTACCACATTCCTCAATCTTACATGGTTTCTATTCAGCAGAAAGCTTTGATAACTTTTAGTGTCTGAAGAAGTGTTAACATACTATGAGTATGTTAATATTTGTACTATTTCACTGCAGTTCAAACTACCTTGTGTTGAGAAATATAAGAAGGTTTATTAAAGGGTTTGCAACATTTTTCATATGTAGCATTTCAGTCTCGCATGAATTATGAGGTGATTCACAATTTCTTCGTAATTACTAAAGACCTTGGAACTTGCTTTACACTTGTGTGATTTCTCTCACAGATGAATTATTGAATGTTGCTTCCAGAAAACTGGTAATAGTTTTTGCCACATCTCCACAATTGCAATATTTCTCCCCAGAAGGAATTATCCCGTATTCGGAACATGCTATGGAACTTCTGAAGTACTTGCCACATTCTTTAGATGAGTATGGTTTCTCTGCAGAATGGATTCTTTGATGATCCCTAATGTTTTAGCTGAGCAGAGAAGGCCAGGATATATATTTTATACTTGCAGGGTTTCTCTGCTGAGTCACTTCTCTTGTGTTTAGAAAATAATGCTGGAAAATGGAAATCCTTGCCATATACTATACACACTTGAAGAGATTTTCTCCAGTATGAATTTTCTTGTGTACCAAAAGTGATGATGAAATTCGAGGCCTTTCCACATATTTTAGTACTGTTTCTTTCCTGTGTGAATTTTCTTTTCTTTTGGCACCAGGCAACATACTATCAATATTTTTTAAAGATCTATTTATTTTATGTATATGACTTCTCTATCTGCATATACACCTGCACACCAGAAGAGGGGATCAGATCCCATTATAGATGGCTGTGAGGCACCACACAGTTACTGGGAATTGAACTTGGGACCTCTGGAAGAGCAGCCAGTACTCTCAACTCTTGAGACATCTCTCCAGCACCATGAATTGCTTTATGCTTGGAAAGTCGTGATGGATAATGGAAGGCCTTGCCACATATGTCACACTTGTAGGGTTTCTTTCCTGTATGAATTATCTTGTGTTTAGAAAGTAATGATGGATAATGGAAGGCCTTCCCACATACTTCACACTTGTAGGGTTTTTCTCCTGTATGAACTATCTTGTGTTTAGAAAGTAATGATGGATAATAGAAGGCCTTGCCACATACTTCACACTTGTATGGATTCTCTCCTGTGTGAATTCTCTTGTGTTCAGAAAGTGACGATGGAAAACGGAATACATTCCCACATATTTCACACTTGTATGGTTTCTCTCCTGTATGAATTTTCTTATGGTTGGAAAGTTTTGAAGGATAATGAAAGGCCTTCCCACATACTTCACACTTGTGAGGCTTTTCTCCTGAATGAATCATCTTGTGTTTAGAAAGTAATGATGGAAAATGGAAGGACTTGCCACATAAGTCACAATTGTAGAGTTTTTCTCTAGTGTGACTTACCTTGTGTTTAGAAAGTAATGATGGAAAATGGAAGGTCTTGCCACATTCTTCACACTTGTAGGGTTTCTTTCCTGTATGAATTCTCTTGTGTTTAGATAGTGATGATGAGAAGCGGAAGGCCTTCCCACATACTTCACACTTGTATGGCCTCTCTCCTGTGTGAATTATTCTGTGCTTAGATAGTGATGATGAAACATGGAAGTCCTTGCCACATACTTCACACTGGTAGGGTTTTTCTCCCGTATGAATTCTCATGTGTTTAGAAAGAAATGATGGATAATAGAAGGCCTTCCCACAATCTTCACACTTGTAGGGTTTTTCTCCAGTATGAATTCCCTTGTGAACTAATAGTAATGATGCAATATGGAAGGCCTTTCCACATACATCACACTTGTAAGGTTTCTCTCTTGTATGAATTTTCTTATGTTTAGAAAGTCTTGAAGGATAATCGAAGGCCTTTCCACATACATCACACTTATATCGTTTTTCTCTTATATGAATTTTTTTATGTTTAGGAAGTCTTGAAGGATAAACAAAGAACTTGCTATGTACTTCATTGTTATAGTGATTCTCTTCTGTATGAATTCTCTTGTGTTTAGAAAGTAATAATGGAATGCAGAAGACCTTTCCACAAACTTCACAACTGTAGGCTTTTTCAACTTTATGAATTCTTTTGTGTTTAGAAAGTGACGATGGAGAACAGAAGGCCTTTCCACATACTTCACACTTGTATGGTTTCTCTCCTGTATGCATTTTCATATGGCTAGAAAGTCGTGATGGATAATGGAAGGACTTGTCACATACTTCACATTTGTAGGGTTTTTTTCCTGTATGAATAATCTTGTGTTTAGAAAGTAATGATGAATAATGGAAGGCCTTGTCACATACTTCACACTTGTAGGGTTTCTCTCCTGTATGAATTATCTTGTGGTGAGAAAGTTTTGATGAAACATGGAATGCCTGCCCACATACTTCACACTTGTAGGGTTTTTCTCCTGTATGTACTATCTTGTGTTTAGAAAGCAATGATGGATAGTGGAAGGCCTTGTTGCAAATTTCACACTTGTAGGGTTTCTCTCCAGTATGAATTTTCTTGTGTGCAGATAGTGATGATGGAAAGCGGAAGGCCTTCCCACATTCTTTACAGTTGTATGGTTTCTCTCCTGTGTGAATTCTCTTATGTTTAGATAATGATGGTGGAAAACAGAAGGCCTTTCCACATTCCTCACACTTGTATGGCTTTTCTCCTGTATGAATTCTTTTATGGGTGGAAAGTCTTGATGGATAATAGAAGGCCTTCCCACATACTTCACACTTGTGCAGTTTTTCTCCTGTATGAGTCGTTCTGTGTTTAGAAAGTAGTGATGAAACATGGAAGGCCTTGCCACATACTTCACACTTGTAGGGCTTCTCTCCTGTACAAACTTTCTTATGTTTAGGAAGTCTTGAAGGGTAAACAAAGGCCTTGCCACATACTTCACCGTTATAGTAATTATCTCCTGTATGAATTCTCTTGTGTTTAGAACGTGATGACAGAGAACGGAACGCCTTTCCACATACTTCACACTTGTACGGTTTCTCTCCTGTATGTATTTTTGCATGGGTAGAAAGTCTTGAGGGATAATCGAAGGCCTTGCCACATACTTCACACGTGTAGGGATTCTCTTCTGTATGAATTATCTTGTGCTTAGAAAGTAGTGATAAAATTCGGAAGGCCTTTCCACACACTTCACACTTGAATGGTTTCTCTACTGAATGAATTTTCTTATGGTTGGAAAGTCTTGATGGATAATGGAAGGCCTTGCCACATACTTCACACTTGTAGGGTTTCTCCCCTCTATGAATTATTTTGTGTTTAGAAAGAAATGATGAAATGTGGAAGGCTTTGCCACATACTTCACACTTGTAGGGTTTCTCTCCTGTGTGAATTCGTTTGTGTTTAGAGAGTATTGATGGATAATGGAAGGCCTTGCCACATACTTCACACTTGTAGGGTTTTTCTCCTGTATGAACTCTCTTGTGTACCAAAAGTAATGATGGAAAGTGGAAGGCCTTTCCACATACATCACACTTGTACGGTTTCTCTTCTGAATGAATTTTCTTATGTCTGGACAGTCTTGATGGATGTTGGAAGGCCTTGCCACATATTTCACACATGTAGGGATACTCTCCTGAATTAATTATCTTGTGTTCAGAGAGTAATAATGGAATGCAGAAGGTCTTGCCACAAACTTCACTTTTGTAAGGTTTTTCTCCTGTATGAATTCTTTTCTCTTCAGAACTTAATGATGGAATATGGAAGTACTCAGTGCATTCTTCACACTTGTAGGGCTTCACTCCTAAATCAATTATCTGGTGATTTTGAAACACTTTCGTCCAGTCAAAGACTTTGCCACATTCTGTGCATGTACAGCATTCTCCCCCTGGGAAGGATGGATTGAGAAATTAATGAAAGTAGAGCAAAATTCTGTACATTTACAATGCTTCTGTTTAAAAACCAACACTTTCTCATACTTGCATTTGTCTTTATAAATGAGAAGCTACATTCAACTTTTTATACCTGTATTAAATGAAGCCTAAGTTAAAACACAGAAGCGAAAATCATGCAACCTTCTACTAAAAGAAGAGCAGGACAACAGAGAAATGGAAACAAAGGAATAGTAATCTAAGTCAAATATGAAAGGAACCATAAAATTAACAAAGAAAACCCACTAAGTAAATGCAAATCAGTACCTTACACAAATACAGAAATTGTATGACTAGATAAAAGCAAAGTATAAAATAGTCTAACTTTGAAAACATCCAAATAAACAATAAATTTTTATTTTATATATTGTAAATAATAAATGTATATGATACACAGATGTGTCATTAGTGTAAAGTTTGGTTTTCAAGGTTATATATATCTCAAGGGTTCAAGACAGGAGCTTATGCATCTCTTTAGGCATGTGTTTATACAGAATGGAAAGATTATCCTGGTACTGTTCAAACACTGATTTTTGTGTTTCTTATCTAGTTGCTGAGCACACATGGTACTGTAATGCTTACTCTAAAAATTCCCTTGTCAAGTTTGTGTTTCCATGTTATCTAACTTGTTCCCATGTTATTATCTAACTGGTCAATAAAATTGATCAGCCAATAGATCAATTGTAGAGAGGAAAGAGTTGGACATCTGCCAGCCCAGGGGAGAAGAGACAGAGGGGGGTAGGGGGAGAAGAGAAGGAAAGGACTTACTACAAGGAAGGGGTCCAGAGAGCCATCATGTAAAGACACCCAAATTCAGAGAGCCAGACCAATACAAAAATGCAAGAATCCTGATTATTTTGTCTGGGAGGTAGTCAGATTAACTTAGAAGATTAGTATTGGCCATTAACTACCCAGTCATTAAATAAATGTTATAGTTTCTGTCTCATTCATTTTGGAGCTAGCCAGGGATACAGACAAATATTCACTTTAAAAAATGTATGTACAAATATCATATATTCATATATATATATATATATATATATATATATATATATATATAAAACATTCAAGTTAAAGATTACTTAGAAGTTAAAGATTACTTAGAAATGGCAGAGCTTTGGCTGTCATGGAGAACACAAGTAAATCTCATGATAGAAGAAAACACAGCTTATCAGACATAATGCATTCTTAATGTTAAATAATGTCTTTTCACAGAAAAAGACAGAAAATTAGATCTTTAAAAGATGATTTAAACTGGAATATTGTGTCTCGATGGATTGATGTTAGATCTTAGAGTTTCCCACTCTGTTCTGACACCCTCCTCCTGACACACCTGGGTGCTCAGTGGCAGCCGCTTCTCTCTTCACATCTGAAGGCTCTTGTATTTGCTCCAGAAATGTGACCAGGTGTGGCTTAGAGGAAACAAGACCTGTTTGTGGGAAAAGGAAACAGCAGTGTTAGAGAATTCTCCTGGGAACTACAATGTCCTTTCCAGGACTGTGAGCATAAGGACTGAGAGATACAATAAGGGAGTAGTGAAGACTTGTTTTTCACAAACTTTCTGTTGGGCACATCGGAATCCTTAGGAGAAACTTAGTACGTGTGGGTCCTGAGCTTCATATCCCTTCTTTACAAGGATGAGTATAAAACTGAAGTGTGTGACAGTCTCTGTAAGGTGTGGCACTTACTGTCTAAAACAAATGAGACATGTAAGAGGGGTGGAGAGAGGAGGAACCAACACAAGAAATAGTTCTGAGGTGCATAAATAATTTTAAACTTCTTTAGAAGTAGTCCTGTAAACGGATATTGTTGGAAGCACAAGCTCTCATGAGGTACTGTACAAAGGGAGCAACTTTCATACTGACAATTAATTAAGAGTTCTTCCTAGAAATATGTAGCAGTGAGGGATAAGGAACTGGCAGTAGCCAATGGAGGCTTCCAGGACCCAGTGGGGATGACATTATGAAAAGTGCACAGTGAAGGGGAGACAGAACCTATAGAAACCTCCTCCAGTAGATAGGCATGGCCCTGTGTTGATGGATGAGGCCACCCACCTATCTTAAAGTTTTTTTTTTTAACTTAGAAATGTTCCTGTCCAAAGAAAAGACATAGACAAAAAATGGAGCAGAGACTGAGGGAAGGGCCAGTCAGGTACTGCCACACCTGGGGATGCATGCTATTTGCATACACCAAATTCCAACTCTGTTGCTGTTGCCAGAGTCCCTTTCTGACAGGAACCTGGTGTGGCTGTCTCCTGGGAGGTTCTGACAGCACCTGATCAATGCAGATGCAGATGCTCACAGCTAACCATCAGACTGGGCTTGGGGACCCAAGTGGAGGAGCTGGGGAAAGAACTGGAGGAGCAGAGGGGGATTGCAACACCATAAGAACAACGTCAGCTGGCCAGATGACCCAGTGCTCCTAGGGACTAGACCACCAACTGAGGGGTGTCCATGGAGGCATCCATGGCTCCAGATACATAACTAGCAGAGGAGAGCCTTATCTGACATCAGTGGGAGGGGAAGCAATTGCTCCTGTGGAGGTCTGATGCTGGACAGGTGGGGTGGGACTGGGTTGATGGGTGGGGGAGCAACCTCATAGAGGCAAAGGGGAGGGAGGAGAGGGCGGATGGGATGGGCCAGGTTGTGGAGGGATACCGGGAATGAAATGATGACCAAAAAAAAAAAAAAAAAAAAAGTTCTTCATGGAAGCTATCCTCACCCAGGAACACAAGGTTGCTGTAATTCTCCAGCATCACGTCCCTGTACAGATTCCACTGAGCAGGCTCCAGACATTCCCACTCTTCTGCAGAGAAATCAATGGCCACATCCTTGAATGACAGCATTTCCTGAAAAACAAAAAAAGAGGAAATACCAGACATTGTTGGGGGTTGGTCTGGTGCTTCTATGTGCTCAAATGCTACCACAAGATCTGGTAGCCATAAGACAAGCAAACTCTAATGTACGCCAGTATTTATTGTGTAAAACTTGCTCCCCAATTTTAAACTACTGGTAAAATAAAACTGACAACAACCAGTTATGGGGTAAAATAGAGGTTGGTAGGGCTAGGGGTCAAACACAATGATGAGAAGGGGAAATAGGGAGAAGAAGGGGAAGATGGGAGGACATGAGGTCCCCATTAGACATGATGCATCAGAAACAGGTGTCCAAGTGAGATTCCCAACCCCCATGAAACACCGATGGAGCAGAAATAATTCAGGAAAGACTCAATCCGCAAGAAATTAGGGAGATAGAACAGCGGAGGAAGTAGCCAGTCTAGCTTTAGAAAAGTAGATTAGGAGTAATCCCTCAGTAATTGAGCAAAAGTCAAATAAATAAATCACAGTGTGGGTCTCATTCATCTGGAAGCTAAACTGGGATAGAAATAACCACAATTAACTTACACGTCAGACTAATTATCACCATCAGTAATAACACAGATACAAAGAGGCGTCATGTGCTTCTGCATATAAATCTAAATGAGGCTCTGAGTGAGAGCACAGACGGAAGCACTTCTGATACAGGTGATATCCCTAAAATATTATTTGTGATGCTGGGGGCAACACAGGGCTCATCTCTAAGTGAAGTGGATCACAGAAGGGCCTAAAAACTCCTATGGTATAATGCTTTTAAGAACCATAAAATGGAGAACGAGGGCAAAGAAAAACAGAGTGTTGAGGCTAGACAGATGGCTCAGTAGTTAAGAGCACTGGCTACTCCTCCACAGGACATGGGGTTTGATTTAGGTGCCACATGGCCACTCATAACTGTCCATAACTCCAGTTAGAGAGGATCAGACAATCTGTCAGACATGAAAGCAATCCTGCTTTACTACAAAGCAGGGTGGATCAGTTCCAGTGATCTCAGCCAGACATGCTCCTGGTATGGGTAAGTCAGTCAGAAAGCACAAGAAGTACGGTCACACAGCATGTGGGACTTGTCTATTCATGCCTGAAACAGTAATGCTCTGTCCTATCTGATAAGAGTCTAGCTTTTAAAAACAGGATTCCTATGTGAATACAGCTGACCTTCCTCAACCTTATTTGTCTACAACCCACAGAGGAATGTTTTTTTTAGGACAGCATGAAAATCTGTCTGCCTAAGCAGGCAACACCAGGAAGGAGAGATTGCAGACCTGGACGGAGCTCCTACAGCAGCATCAGCTTCCTCATTCCCAAGCCCCTCATCTGTGTCTCTTAAAGGTTCAAGTCAGGTTTCTCCCTTCACACAATGCCCATCCTGTATTTCCAGGATTGGTGCCCATCTCTGTGAGTAGCCTCATCTGTTGTTCTGAACCTCTTTCCTGCCTTTCTTCTCTTTGATCTGTGCTAACAAATCTAACATCAACCATATTTTCACAAATGACCACATTGCATCCTGTAACATCACTGAGTATCACAAATTAAGCTGTGAACTGACTAGCATAATAGAAAGAAACTGTACCGAAATTCCCTAATTCTTTTACTTTTATGATGTCGTTAAAATTCATTCAAATTAAAGACATTCATTTGTAACCACATTAAGATAACCTCAAAATCACTGAAAAGGAGAATATAAAGAAACATAATGTATTTGGGTTAAAGAATATAGAGCTGTTTCATAACAGAAAAGAATAAAGGAAGCTGTTATTAAGTCAGGCACACAAAACTAATAAAACAATTATTTTTGCAGCATGTAGGCTGATCGTTATGTTATGCTTGTAGTTTTTCCTAAAAACTATATGACCAGATCTCATAGAAAAACAATATAATAGATCACACTGGCATTTCCACTCAGTATCCTACAAGATTTCTAGAAAATTTGCCAATACACATTACTTTGATGAACACACTAAGACCTAAATTTTAGAAGTACAATCATAAACTTCATCAAAGACTACAAACATTTTTTAACGGTATGAAGAAACATCTCAATGTCACTAAAGACAATGAAAGGAAATGACAGACACTGTGAAAAGACCAAATCTTCACATTACAGGCATAGATGAAGGAGAAAAATCCCCAAGAAATGGCATAAATGTGATCTTCAAGAAGGCCATAAAAGAAAAAACAATAAACACCAACACCAACAAAAAACTTGCACAGAGAATACACACACATGTCAAAAACATTATCCACCATGACCAAGTTGCCTTTATCCCTTAAACGCAGGGATAGTTCATCATATGCAAGTGAATAAATGTAAGAAATGACATAGTCTTATAGGCAATAAACACATGGTCATCTCAAGAGGGGCAGAAAAGCCTTGGACCAACTTCAATATGCTTTCAGGGTGAAAGTGCTACAGAATGTAAAACTAGAGGGTTGTTCCTTGAAGGGAGGGAATGTAAAATCTGCTTTCCACACAAAGCTTAGAGCTGATTACTAGCCTACTTAGTCACTTATGATATGTATTTCGCTAACTTTGCTCCTCTAGGACACTTAGGTATGATTTGTTGTACTTACAGGACTGAGGTAATTATCACCAGAAGAGTTTACACCTAACTGTGCTAGTGTGAGACTATGCCTAAAACAAACAAGTGGACAGAAGACTCCCCCATTTGAACAAACAACTGCTACTGAGTTGCCCAGTGCAGACTGCCTTCCCGCCTCCCCTGCGGTATTATTCTGCTGGTCATGAAGCCATGAACCCCTGCGGGGATGCTGTTCGGGAGCATAAGAAAGAGAATGGAGGGTACATAACCTCATGGGCAAATTGGGAAGAATTGTGGGGTAATAGTTAGGGAAGTAGAATAAATATGGATCTGAAGAGTAACCTTGAAGTGTCAACCCTAGCTCCCTCCAGCCTACAGCCACTCTGGGCAAACCCAGGAGTGGTCACCCTGATATCTAAACCACACAAAGACTCAACAAAGAAAGAGTATTTCAACCACTTTTCCTTATGAACATTGATGCAAAAATACTCAATAAAATACTCACAAACCAAATCCAAGAACACATCAAAAAGATCATCCACCATGATCAAGTAGTCTTCATGCCAGGAATTCAGGGGTGGCTTAATATATGAAAATCTGTCAACTTAATCCATCATATAAACAAAATGAGACAACCAAAAGTTACATGTCAATCTCCTTAGATGCTGAAAAACCTTTTGAAAAAAAAAAATCCAAAACCCCTTCATGTTAAAAGTCTTGGAGAGATCAGGGATATGAAGTGCATACCTAAACATAATAAAAGCAATATACAGCAAGCCAATCTTAAGCTAACATCAACTTAAATGGAAAGAAACTTAAAGCAATTCCACTAAAATCAGGGACAAGACAAGGCTGTCCATTCTCTCCATGTCTCTATAATATTCTACTTGAAGTTCTAGCCAGAGCAACAAGAAAACTAAAAGAGATCAAGGGGATATAATTTGGAAAAAAAAAAAAAGTCAAAGTATAGCTATTTACAGATAATATGATAGTAAACATCAGTGACCACAAAAACTCTACCAGAGAACTCCTAGAGCTGATAAACACCTTCAGCAAAGTGGTTGGATACAAAATCAACTCAAAAAAAAAAAAAATCATTTGCCCTCCTTTATACCAACAATAAGCAGGCTAAGAAAGAAACCAGGGAAATAATACCTTTCACAATATCCACAATTAATATAGAATATCTTGGTGTAACTCTAACAAATCAAGTGAAAGACCTGTATGACAAGACCTTCAAGTCTCTGAAGAACAAATTTGAAGAAGATATCATAAGATAGAAAAATTTCCCATGCACACGGGTAAGCAGGATTAACAGTGAAAATGGCCATCATATCAAAAGCAAAAGCAATCTACAGATTCAATGCACTTCCCATCAAAATTCCCACACAATTCTCTACAGACCTTGAAAGATGAAATGGTCAACTTCATATTAAAAAAAAAAAAAAAAAAAGCCCAGGATAGCTAAAAACAACCCTGTATAATAGAAGAACTAGAGGTGTCATCATTCCTGATTTCAAGATGAACTACAAAGATACAATAATGAAAACACCTGTATGGTATTGATACAGAAATACACAGCTTGATCAACAGAATTTAACAGAAGACCCTGAAATAAACCAACCCACCTATAGACACTTAATTTTTGACAAAGAAGCCAAAACCATACAATGGAAAAGAGAAAGCATCTTTAACAAATGGTGTAAATCTAACTGGATATCTGCATGTAGAAGAATGCAAACAGATTCATATTCATCACTCTGCACAAAACTTAAGTCCTAGTGGATCAAAAACCTCAACATAAACCCAGATACACTAAGTCTACTAGAAGAGAAAGTGGGGAGGAGCCCTGAACGCATTGGTATAGGAACAACTTTCTGAATAGAATACCAACAACTCAGGCACTAAGATCAACAATTAATGAATGGAATCTCATGAAACTGAAAACCTTCTGTGAGGCAAAGGACACTTTTATAATAGCAGCCTCCAGAATGGGAAAAGATTTTCATCAACCCTACATCCCACACAGGGCTGATATCCGAATATATAAAGAACTCAAGAAGTTAGACACCAGTAAACCAGATAACCCAGTTAAAAAATGAGGTACAGAGCTAAGCAGAGAATTCTCATCAGGGGAATCTCTAATGGCTGAGAAACACTTTAAAATGTTTCTTTGGTCATCAGGGAAATGCAAATCAAAGTGACTCTGAGATTCTACCTTCCACCCAGCAGAATGGTGGAGATCAAAACCTCAAGCCACAGCACATACAGACAAGGATGCAGAGCAATGGGAACACCCCCCCCCCAACTGCTGGTGGGAGTGCTAAGTTATACAATCACTATGGAAATCAATGTGGTGGCTTTTCAGAATACTGGGAATAGTTCTACCTCAAAACTCAGTGATGTCACTCTTGGGCATATACCCAAAAGATGTTCTACCACACCACAAGGACGCTTGCTCAACTACATTTGTAGCAGCCTGATTCATAACAGCCAGAAACTGGTAACAACAGATGTCCCCTCAAGGGACAAATGGATAAAGAAACTGTTGTTCATTTACACAGTAGAATATTACTCAGCTATTAAAAACAAGGTTATCATGAAATTTCCAGGCAAACTGATCGAACTAGAAAACTTAGATTTTTTCTTTTCAAAACTTACTTTACGTAGAGTTCTTGAATGTTTCAACCTTCCTTCTAGCCCATATACCAGAGGTAGGGGACAAAAAAGGTTAATAAGAAACAGGGGCTATGGACCTGTTTAGAAGTAGTTCCTTGGGGCAATTCCACTCTTTGTTGTTAGGATATCAGCAGTCCAGTCCAATTTCAAAACACCAAGCATGAATTGGTACAGGTGGTAAGATCCAACTTAGGAAGCACAAGGAACCACTGACTTCATAGGAAACAGTAGAAGCAGCCAGGAAACCACACATGTTCTTTGGTGCATTTCTCTCTATGTAGTGAAAACCAGCCGAGCTTTGCAGTCAAATCAATGCAAAAGCATCCTCTCACTGTCTGTGGGGGGGTGGGGTGGGGGAGTGTTTGATTTATCTCTTCTCTAAACATCACCTACTTCCTCAAGCATCTGTTCTTAGCAAACTCTCACACGCCCTCTGACAAGACAGCTTCCAGCAAAACATGACACGACACAACTGATTTTTAAAGAATCTAGAAACTTCCACTTCATCTTCCTGACTGAGGTAACCCAGAACCAAAAGGATATGCATGGTAGGTACTCACTTATAAATGGATATTAGCCACAAAGTACAGGATACCCATGATACAACACACAGACCCAAAGAAGCTAAATAACGAGGAGGGCCCAAGGGAGGATGCTTGATTCTCACTCAGAAGGGAAATAAAACATACATCAGGAGTGGACGGAGGGATGAAGGTGGTAGGGGGAGGGAATTGGGAGGGATATGGGGGTGAGGGATCAGGTGTAGGGAAAGCTTGGGAGAGGGGGCCATAGGAGTGAGTAACATTTGGTGGTGGGCCAGGTTGAGGAGGGGGGTCATATCTGTGACACGCTGGAAACATGGGATGGGAGAGGCTTCTTTGAGCCTATAAGGGTGATACTAGCTCAGACTCCTAGTACGAGGGAATGTGGAGCCTGAAGCGGTCACCTCCTGTAGCCATGCAGGACTCCCAGTGGAGAGATGAGGTTGCCAATCCAACCACAAAACCTTCAACTGAAAATCTGTCCTTCCTAAAGAGCATGGCAAAGATGGGGCAGAGACTGAGGGAATAGCCAACCAATGACTGGCCCAACATGAGACCCTTCCCATGGGTAAGAACTCCTACTGATACTCTGTTAGGGTTGCAGGCAAGCCTGGCCTAACTGTCCTCCGAGGGACCCACCCAGCAGCTGACGGAAACAGACACAGAGACCTACAGCCAAACATTAAACAGAGCTGAGGGAGTCTTGTGGAAGATTTGGGAGGATTGAGGGGACCAGGATAGAGTAGGGACGCTGCAAAAGTCCAACAGAGTCAACTAACCTGGACCCTTGGGGGTTCTCAGAGACGGAACCACCAATCAAAGAGCATACATACATGGGCTAGACCAGCCACCTCACTCCCACACATATGTAGCATCAGGGCAGCTTGGCCTTCATGTGGCTCTCCCAATGACTGAAGTGGAGGTTATCCTTGACTCTGTTGTCTGCCTGTGGATCTGAACCCCTATCGAGGCTGCCTCACCCAGCTTCCTTGGAAAGGTATGTGCCTACTCCTCCAGTGACTTAACGTGCAAGTAGGGGTTGCTATAGGGGGATGGCTCCCCCTTCTCAAAGAGAGTGGTGCATGGGGAGAGGGGACTGGGAGAAGATGGGGGGGGGGCTGTGATTGTGAAGAAAAGTGAATACACAAATGAATGGAAAAGAAAGAAGCATCCTTGAACTCACGGACAGAAATATTTTAACTTAAAGGCAGAAAATGACAGCAACCTGTGCTACTCAGGTTTATTCTTTACTTGTTTTTGACTTGTCCTAATCTGTACAAATTAGATTTCTGTCTTCTGTGCATGGCCTCTGACATGTAGACAGTCATCACCAGGAACTGAATGACATCATCCAACACAGGACCCTTCAGAGTTTCCCAGAACTTGTCAAACGTGACAAGGATCCTGCCTGAGTCTGTTAAGATCAGCGAGTCCTTCATTCAAACCATCACTCACTCACAGTAACATTAGGATGAAATGAAAAGAGCCTGTGAGGAAAAGGGCAGGACTGCACAGCATAGGAGACTGGGGTCCTCCCTGAGGAAGAGGAAGGAATCCCGCCTGGACAGTTAACTGTCTGGATGGTGGTGATGCCACCTGTGAAGGACAGTGGTAGATTGTCATTTTCCATCTGTAGAGTCAGATGTCCTGAAAATTTTCAGGTAAAGTCAGACAGCCCCATGGGGTCATGACAGAGAACAGTACACAAAGAAGGCTAGCATTCCCTGCTAGTCGAACAAGGCAAAGAGAATGTTTTCCCCACCCAGTGAAATGCAAACAATATCCTAATCTTCAACACAAGTCATCAACGAAAGGATGTTAGTGAAAAATCAGATTTGTAAGGTTTCAGGATTAGGAAGATGTCAATTGGATGGATTTCTGCCAGGTCTCTGGTGCTCAGAACTAAGAGCAACCGAAGGAATTACTACATCCAATATACTACGTTTTAAGAATCGTAAAAACACGGGGCCTCATGTTGCCTAGCTTCACAATGAGTTGGCTATGAAGGAGAGGATGACTTTGAACTCCCAGGATTCCTGACTCCTCCTCCTCAAAACTCAGAGATGACAGAAGTGAGTCACAGAATAGGCTTAAGTTCACTTTTCTGTCAGATCTGTTTAATACAAAATATATATGAATGTTTGGTACCTATAAACTATGAGTACGCTGCTGTAACCTCCCTATAGTGTAAGGAGTGTGTTTTGATGTCCATGCCAGCACCTCATTCCTGACTTCATATACAGCTATATTTTTCCTTCAGATTAGCAACGTTAACTAGGAAACGTCTATTTATTCTAGAAACGGTCAGAAACTCATTGAAAATCAGAGTAGACAGGACAAGGTGGTCTGAAGCCCATGCTCCCTGAGAGTAGACTTGAATGCCATAAGCCAGGTTCCTGCTCTCTAACCCTTGGTTTGACTGAAGAGTGACAATACAAGCAAGATCACCTGAGATGGGAGAGGGGCTGTGGAGGAGACATCCTCAAAAAACAAACACACACACACAAAAAACAGTGGGTCTGACTGTGAATGCAAAACTCTTGAGAACAACCAGAAGAAAAGCACGTGATGAGACAACAATGCACAGATCCTGGCAGATTAGAGAACAATGTACAGAGCCCCGAAGATTAGCAAAGCCATTTCCTCCTTCTCTTTCAGACATTCCAGCCCCACCTACCGAACTTTCCTCACTCCAAGTCATCTCTTACATCTGAAAAGGAGTCCAAATTTTGGACAGAACACATACTCAGAACTGTTGAGGTATTACTGTCTAGTGATTTTAAATCTGTAGTGTAAAATCTTAATTATTTGGATTGTGCAAACGCAGGTTCATACCAATTACAAGATTATTCTGTGGCTAAATAGCCATGTATTGTGATGACTCAGGTCACAAAGTTGTCTATTAGTAATTCTTATTTGAACCGAGGCATCCATGAGTCTAACAATTCATTCCAAAGGAAAAGGAACTAACACCCCACATAACGGTTGCCCTCCCTCACAGGATTCCCGCTCCTTATACACTAGGAACTTTAGGAAGCTGTTTGAGCTCAAACCAGGAGTAGTTTCTAAGACATAAAGTATATAGGGCGCTAGATGTCCACGTGTTCTCTAAGACCTGAGAATCTGACTACAGTCACGTGAGAACAGGTCAGTTAGGGAGAGCACGTTCTCTAAGACCTGAGAATCTGACTACAGTCACGTGAGAACAGGTCAGTTAGGGAGAGCACGTTTCTCCAGCAAAGATGAGTGATCTCCCTTCAGCATCTCAGACACAGGCAGGCAGCGGACCCAGCCTGTCCTGGCCATACTGTTGTTTCCAACCTTCTTCCCCAGCCTAGGTCAGCACAGCACGTCCAGGTCAGCAGCTTCCCTGGTCTCACAACAAGCCCAAATAAGCTCCCTCCACGCCCGACCCCGGGATCCTGCATAGTTCCTCAGACCTGAAAGATGGCGCTGCTCCCTGCACCAACCTCCATGTCAGAGATCCAAACGCAGAGCTCAACAGGACAGTTGCATACATTTGAGGAGGAGTGAATTTTGAAGAATAAGGAAGTTCGACTCAGACGGCCCTTTCTGATGACGTCACGGTGCTCGGGACTACATTTCCCACAAGTCAATTGGAAGGACTTCCAGGACTCCAAGGAAGAGGTTTTGTACGTTGCCTGGATTCCAGCCTAGTGGTGAGAGAGCAGCTGACGTTGGAAAAAAGAAAACAGGCATCAGCATATGGGCAGCCACGTCCTTGGCCACAGCATGCGATGTTAGCCTGTGAGCCGAGCCTTTCACAGTAATGTTTATCACATTTCCTTGTTATCTCTGCTAAAGTATTGTGATTTAAAGCTCATATCTAATTATAGAATTTTACTACCGAATGGAAAATTCGACAAGCAGTACAGTCACCTGGACACTTGATTTACATGTCTGTTTAGAATGAGGTCATGACTGGGCGGTCCTCCTCCTAAATGCTGCAGTGAAGGGCATTGTCAGCAACCATAAGAACAGAATTCCTGAGCATTGCAAGTTTTCCAATACGCGTTTGTGTTGATGTTTTGTCTCTTGCTATGTATTGTAATGCTAAATTCTCTACCTGAAGGTCTACGCCTACCACTGACTTCTCACATTTATAAGATTCTGTTGTGCAAACCTTGTTCCTAGATTTAAAACTATTGGATAAATGAAATAGGCTACAGCCAGTTACTGGAGGGATTAGAGGTAGGTGGGTTTTGAGTTACTTTGGTAGGGGGTGGAGAAGAGAGAGAGGGAAGAGAGACCAGGAAAAGGGGGAAGAATGGGGAAAGAGGACAAAGATGCCATTGGAGGGACATGGCCAGGAAAAACAGCAAGTATTTGAAGTTCACCACCGGGAAGGTAGCCAGGACAGCAGTTAGAAGAGTAAATTAGGGCTCGAACCCCAGTAATTGCCAAAGCCAAGTGAAATAACCCTAGTCTGAGTCTCACACATTTGTAGGCTTTTCAGGGATAAACTCTTTTGAAAGAAAGCATTTAATTGGGGCTGGCTTACATTTTCCGAGGGTCAGTTCATTATCATGGTAGGAAGCATGGTAGGGTGCAGGTAGACATGGTGCCGGCAGAATCCAGAGTTCTACATTTTTCTCTGCAGGCAGCAGAAGCAGACTGTCTTCATACACCAAGGAAGAGGCTCTGGATCACACTGGCCAGACTTGACCAAAAGTTTGAGACATCAAAGCCCCACCTCCTCACTTGCTTCCTGTAGCAAGACTACACCTCAAATAAGGTTGCACCTCCCATCAGTGCCACTTCCCATGGACCAAACATGTTCAAACTACCACTGTCTCCTTGTCATACAATAATCAAACTACTAAAGATCAGAATAAATTCCTCAGTAAATAGACATAGACTAAGTTTTCAATAAAAAGACATAGATTAGCTGAATGGATGCAAGGAAAAAAGACCATCCTGCTACCTATAAAAAAAACATACCTCAGTATCAAATATAGCTGTCACCTCAGTAAAGTTTTATGAAAATATTTTCCAAGCAAATGAACCTCAGCTGGAAGCTGGCGTAGCTATTCTATCGTGTAACAAAATAGAATCCTAACCAAAATTAAGAAAAAAAAAAAAAACAAACAGGGAGGAACACTTCAAAAATCATCAGAGGAAAAATCCACAAGAATGATGTTTCAATTCTTAACATCTATATAAAAAATACAAGGACTTATGACTAAAAGAGAACTATCACCAAGCTTAATCTCACATTGGCCCTAACATATTTATCGTTGGAGAGTTCAGTGCCCCACTCTCACCAATAGACAGGTTATCCAGCCAAAAAAAAAAAAAAAAAAATACCATCACTGACAAACATTAAAACAAATGGGCCTGGAGGATATCTACAGAACCTTTCACCCCAAAACAAAAGAATATACCTTCTTCTCAGCTCTCCCAAGTTGAGTACATACTTGGTCACAAAGTAATTCTTTCCAGGCATAAAGAAATTGAAATAACCCACTGATTCTGTTCAGACCACCATGGATTAGGCCTGAATTTCAAGAACAACAGAAGTGCTAATGTCTAAAGGGAATCTAACCAACTCTCTCCTGAATGGAAATAGACTTTCAAAGAACAGCTAAGGCCAATAATCCTTAATTGTTCCACAACAATAGAAATAGAGGAAACTTCAAAATTCATTTTGTGAAGCTATGCTAACCCTGATACCCAGACCGCACAAAGATTCAATGAAGAAAGAGAATAATAACCCATATAAACATAGATGCAAAAATGCTCAATACAGTTCTTTAAACCAAATCTAGGAACACACCAAAGATTTTTTTTTTCAAGACAGAGTTTCTCTCTGTAGCACTGGCTGTCCTGGAACTCACTCTGTAGACCAGGCTGGGCTGAAACTCAGAAATCCACCTGACTCTGCCTCCCAAGTGCTGGGATTAAAGGCTTGAGCCACCACTGCCCGGCACCAATAGATGTTATAAAACATAACCAAGTAGACTTCCTCTCAGACATGAAGGGATGACTCCACATTAAAAAAAAAAACAAGTCAATGTAATGTACCATATAAAGAAACTTAAAACTACATGCTCATCTCATTAGACGCCAAAAAAGCCTTTGATAAAATTCAACCCACCTTAATGACAAAAGTCTTTGGAAGAGTAGAGACACATTGGACATAGCTAAATATAATACAGGTGATTTACATCAAAACTTTAGTCAATGTCTTAGAGTTTGCATTCCTGCACAAAACATCATGGCTGAGAAGCAAGTTGGGGAGGAAAGGGTGTATTCAACTTACATTTCCACATTGCTGCTCATCACCAAAGGAAGACAGGACTGGAACTCACACAGGGGAGGAACCAGGAGGCAGGAGCTGATGCAAAGGCCATAGAGGAGCGCTGCTTACTAGATTGCTTCTCCTGGCTTGCTCAGGTTGCTTTCTTATAGAACCCAGTACTACCAGCCCAGGGATGGCATCACCCACAATGGGCCCTCCCACCCTTGATCACTAATTGAGAAAATGCCTTACAGCTGGATCTCATGGAGGCATTTCCTCAAAGACTTCTTTCTTTGTGATAACTCCAGCTTGTGTCAGGTTGACACACAAGACCAGCCAGTGTGACCAACATCAAATTGAATGGAGAGAATCTCAAAGCAATTTCAATAAAATCAGGAATGAGGCAAGGTTCTCCACTCCTTCCATATCTATTCAATACACATTTGAAGTTGTAGCTAGGGTAATTAGGAAACTGGATGGAATAAGGGGATCCATAGAAGAAAGGCAGAAGTCAAACTGTCTTTTGCAGAGGGATACAAACTACTAATGTACTGAAAGAAAAATCAGGGCAACAACACCCTTCACAATAGCCAAACATAATATAAAATATCTTGTGTAAATCCTACCACGCAAATTTAAGACTTGTTTGACAAAAATGCCACATCTTTGAAAAAAATAAATCGAAGAAGATATCAGAAAGTGGTATTGTCGTACTCTCTAGGACGATCAAACTTCAGAATAATGACACAGAAACTTATTAATATTTATTTTATCTTAGGGCTTAGCTGGCTAACTCCCAGCTAGCATGTCTGACTTAACCTGCATATTCTAGTCTACGTTTGCCACATGGCTTGTTACTTTTCACTCAGTGCTGGCACCTGTTCCTTCCATCTCAGTGTGATGCTGGAGAAACAACCTGGCAACTGATTCTTCTCACACAGCCTATTTCTGTCCCCAAAGTGCCATCTTTCCTCTCCAACCTCAGCTATTGGCCATCAGTTCTTTATTGAGACAATCTGAAGGCAAGAGATATATATGTATGTTTAGAAAAGACTGAGGTCGGTAATGAGTCATAAAAATAACAACACCAAAGTCCATGCATCAGTCAGCTCTCTCCTGAGTAATACAAAGAAAACCTTTATACAGTATATAAAATTCTATCCCAGCATCTCTTCCTTTTAGTCTAATGAATGGCTTTTTCTCTAAAATCAATAAATTTCTAACATATAGAAGAAATATTTTCTGAACTCTCAGGTAAGAATTACATTCAAAATGTCTAGTCCATTTGTGTTTTGCAACCTTGGAGATAGTACTCCACTATATATACTATCTTGATGAGTCCAAAGTTCTATCCCTGAATCACTCTCTTCTATAATTCTAATTGTCAACCTAAAATATATCCTTTTAAATCTTAAGACATTTTCTTCAGTCCTAAATAGCTTAGTTATATGTGATATTATAGCTATCCAGTCTTCACCCTCATCAGAGACCTGACAAGGATAAATATTACCTAAGAATACAGAAAATACAGAGGAAGCAGCTTCCAATACTATAGAAATGACAGACTGCTAGCTGCCTGGGCAGTCGCCCAACATTTGTCTGCAACATTAGGGCATCCATCTTCATCCTAGAAGCCTAGAACACCTGACAGGATTCATGGGAAGCAGAGATATAGAAGGATAGTCATACTTTGTCCCTGCAAAGTTAGTCAATCAACTTCCCAGTGTCCTATTTGGCCAAACATTGGACAGCATGCTATGAGGAGTCTCGGCAAGCGAGTTTTTTGACCAGTGGCTAGGTTTGCCATATTTGAAGAAGACTGTAGATGGAGGTTCTGAGTAGGCAGATGTTGCCTGTTTACAGCTATCTATCTGTTAAAATTTGAAAACAACTACAGGTAGGGAAACAAAGCTTATTTTTATAATTAATTAAACTAGAACCTAACAAGACTACAGGTTTGATTGAATGACTACTAACTTGCATTTTATAATTATCTTAAACAGTTTGAAATAGTAACTTTCAAGGCCTGGAACTTTAGGTTACATTTTTAAGGGAACTGCTTATGTATGATGATACCTAAAACATGGTTGAAACATAATATAGTATATTTTAATGTAAATAACCTTATATTTGTATGAATATATCAATTGTACACCTACGTTATTTATTTAGCCTGTTGATGCTCTTTAGTGTAAACAGATTCAACAATCTACCCTTTCATCCTCTTGTTTATATATACCCCCCTTTTTCTT